ACAGTGGGTCGTCGACGAGAGTAAGGTGGGTTTCACATAAATCCGACAAAATTTGTTATAATCCTACAGAGTAAACACTCAAAGATTGGATTTTTCTTGGTTAAAATGATAAGAGAAAGAAAAGGGGAGAAGGGATTATCGAGTATTTGCTGTTTCTTGAAGGCGAGACGACGGTTTTAGAGAGAGAGAGAGAGAGAGAGAGAGAGAGAGAGAAGACAAAGCAGAAAGGGTCGCTCAGACTACACAATATTTTTTTTTTTTTTAATGGATGAAAGAGAATTTGTGAGTGGATTTGCGCTCGGACCAAAACACACACACTCACACACGTTAATAGTGAGACCTCTCTTTCTTTCTCCTCAGTTGTGTGAGAGAGAGAGAGAGAGAGAGAGAGAGAGAGAGACTTCAGCTTGAGCTAATTGTGGAGTTTTGTTGTTAGTGCTTTATTATATTGTTGTTAATTAAAGAGGATTATAGTTATAATTGTGGGGGATTAAAATATCTTGGCCATAGGTTAAAAATTAGGAGAATTGCTATTGTTCGTTACAGAATTACTAGTGTGTATCCCGTGCGATGCACGGGTAAACAATATTAAATATTTATTATAAATAAGTATCGAATTCGAGTCACTCAATGCAAGAAGTGGGGAATCAATATTAATCATCTCTTAAAAGAGCAAGAAAAAAATAAAGATGATGGTAAATGGTATTAAATATTAATTATAAATTAACGATATAGAGTTAACATGTCATATAATTTATGGTATATCATTTTACTATAAACGATATAAAATTAACTTGTTCAAGAAAACATAAAATTTGTATGTTTAAACAATTAAAAACTCCTAACATAGTAGCTTTATTTTATTTTAGATGAAGACTAAGACGATTTAAAAAAAAAAAAGTCTATTTTCAAAACTATTCTCTTGATTTTTGAAACAATACATTTGTAATTTGACTTAATTATTGTAAATTTTTGAAACTTATGGAAAAAAATTAAAGAGATGAATTTCAATTGATTTGAAATTCTTAAACCATTTTGAATTTCGTGCAAAATGAAACCAAAAATTTTGAAATTCATTATGATTTTGTAATTTTCAAAAGGTTTGTTAATTTTTAAAGTGGCACAAAATCCTTCATTAATGTTACTCGTCCAAGGATAGAAGAACGTGATTAGATTTTTTTGTTCAATTTGAACAAAATCCTTTATATTAGGAAGAGAATTTGAATTAAGCTCAATTTTATGGCAACTGAAATGAGAAGTGATTTTGAATTTCAAATTTCAATTCAATAAGGTAATTTTTTCGGCAATCTGATTGTTTGGTATAAAAAACACAATGGGATTTTTTAAATAAAAAACGAGAAAGGATTTTGAATTTCAAATTATATTCAATGATCGAAATTTCTGGAACTTAATGGAACCAAATCCACCAATCTAGGCTGCAATGTGATTCACGATTTTCTGTTATTAAAAAAAAAATCTTTTTGAAAATTAAATCAACCGCAACTTTAGGAATTGGTATTTTAAAAAAATAAAGAATTCATTAATTTAATGGTATTAGCCGATTTGATGTTCAAAAGGTGATGGGGGTGCCTGCGGTGACAGCACCTGCGGTGCACCCCTCTCCACCATTGGATCATGTTAAGTAACATGATCCAATGGTGGAGAGGGGTGCACCGCAGGTGCTGTTTAAAATTGCACAGCAGGCACCCCCCACTCGTTCAAAAGGCTTCAAAATGTTTGCAAATACTAAAGTTATTTTTTTTTAATCAGTCGTAATTTATTTTTATAAAAAAATAATGCAATTTGGTAATCTTGATTATGTTAAAAGAATTCTTTAATTTGTGAAAATGAAAATGTTACAACCCGTTCTTGCGCAAATAAAATATTGACGATTTTATAATTAGATTAGTTTTGTGTTATTTTTATATATAAAAAATATAAAAAGAATAGAATAAAAATATTGTATATTTTGATTATTAAATGAACTGTAGTTGATTTTATTTAAAAATAAAAGTATCTGATTAAAACAATTGTAGTAGCCAAGTTGATGTTAAAAAGAGTTTATGATTTTTTGTAAATACTAACTTAAGTTTATATTATTAAGTTAGGCGTAATTTATTTTTTTAATAAAATGAAATTTGCAATGTGGTACATAATTATATGTTAAAGAAAGTTTTTTTTTAAAAAAAAAAAAAATTGTGAAAATGAAAAAGGAACAGTCTAATCTTGAGCAAAAATAAGTAACAAACTTCACTTAACAAACTCCACGTTTAAATGCAACAATTAATGATGCACATTTGTAAATAAAAAATAAAATAAAAACTTTCTATTAAATAGCATGCAATTAATGTTCAACCATATTTGACCAAAGTTTAACTTGTCATTTTTAAAAAATGGTAATCCTTTATATATATATATATATAGATTCTGTCGGGATTTGTAATCGTTAGATCATCATGTACCGTCGTGAATAGTCTAACAGTTATAAACTCCGACGAAATGGTCCGTAACGGACGCGTATAATCTTCCAAAAATTAGAATGCTTTTGTTAGCTAAATATGGTGGGAATTGGAGGTGTTGAAAAAGTCAAAGATGGTCTAATTTGGTTTTGTTGAGCTATTTATGAGGCTGTTGGCGTTGGGTATGAAAACTTTTGGAAAAATTTTTGTTACAATTTACAAGTGTAGATGAAAAGGTCATGAAATTGGAAAACATTGTTCTAGAAAAAAAAAAAAAAATATGAACCTGATATTCATATTTTCTAAATTCTTAATAAATATAAAATAAACTATAATGGTTAAAATTTGTAATATTTAAAATAATTATATATCTAAAGATTAGTAATTTTTATATGT